TTTTTTTTTCTTTTTTTTTCTTTTTGAAAATAATACATTCAAGAAAGACTCGCATCAGTTTAGAAATAATATCTTTTCATGCGAAATAAAAATGGTTGAAATATTTCCGAATTTTTATTTCGAACTTTCAGTTTCGATTTAAACTAGTAAATAAAGCAAGCAATGATAATCTCTAATTGCATTTAACAAACAAATCAAGACGTATTTTAATTTTTTTTAAATTTTCAATATAACTTTTACTTTTTACTGAACCATTTTATTATTGCATGGGAGATATTGAAAAATCTATGCTGCTCTGCTTTAAATGAATGAATTTTTATGAAGAAGAAAAACTTGCAGAGGAAAGTGTAGGAATGGGGGAATCTTTAAAGTTAGATAAATATCAATAAATTTTTAATTTCAGAATTCTCACTCAGTAATGGCAATGTCAGTGACACTTATTCAGAGTTTTTCGGTTAATTCACTGTTTAAAGCAGTGAGCACAAGAACTATCTACCTAAAAGAAGGAAAGCCTGAATGGAGGGGACTTTGTAAAGGAAACTGGCTCCTATTCCCTTAACGCATACTTCACGCGAAAAGCATGAAAACCTTCGCAACCAAATAATTTTTCCAAAAATACAGCATAGGAAGAATTGTCGTTTTTCACCGGTCTTATAAGTAAGTAAATAGCATGCCCACTTTCATTTTAAAGACAAAAGTATGATTTGGAATGTAATGCGGAACTGTTATAAATATCTGAACGTTTTTTAAATTGTATCCTGCATAAAAATAAAACAAAAAATGATGAAGGCTATAAAATTTTATCTGATTAAGACATTCCTTTAAGTCAGAGGTTTCAAACTCAAATATAGCACGTTGAACTTCTAATTATCCAAAAAACATCCAGTAGAAAATGCCTTGTCTAGAATTTGAAAAGGATAAAAGAATTTGTGATTTCCTGAGCGAAACACGGCTTTCGAAGCAATGAATTCCACTGTGTCTTCTGAGGGATGAAGAAAGAACTGAACGCTAATTTACGGTCGGAAAAACCATCCTTGTTATCATAAAACAGAAAATTTCTGCTGATAAGGTAACAGCATTTGGTCTTGAAAAAGATGAAGGCTATAAAGTTGTAAGCCAGGAGGTCTCAAACTTAAATTGCATGACAGTTGAATTCACAATCTAAAAACAAACGATGGCCACAACATTTTTTTAACAACAACAACAACAAAATATATATATATATATATATATATATATACAGTGTCTCACAAAAGTGATGGGACACTTCTGCTTCGCAAAAGGAAACTGTAATAAAATTAATTAAAAAACATGTAAAAATTTTTTGTGGGTAATTTCATACTTAAATTTAGTAACAATTATTACATAACATACATTTTCTTAAAAATATTAAAATATTAATTTAATAAAAATACAATTGTTTAGAACGGAGCAAAAAATGGCTCACATAAGTGATGGGACACCATTAGATACTACTACATACTACAATAAAAATATTTTTTGGGGTTTTTATTTTTACTCAAAAGCAATTGGCAATAATTTATAAAATCGTCTGCAGTATTTCACTCCAGTTTGTTTTGGAATTTTTGTGTTTTTTAGCTCTGTGCAGCCATGAATGCTAAACGAAAAGAAACTCTGCCTAAAATTCGAAAATTAATTATTAATTTGCATATTGAACGTGAAAAATCTATTAGAGAAACTCCTGAAACAGTTAACTTGAGTCATTCAACAGTTTACAATATCATTAAACGATATAAAAAGAACATATAATTCAGGATAAAAGAAGACCTGGCCGACCATCAAAGCTATCCAATGGAATAAAGCGAATTATCGTTCGAAATATTAAAAAAAATCCAAGAATGAGTGCTCCTAAAGTTGCTGCTGATTTACAAGCATTATATGGAGTAATTGTTAAACCTGAGACTATTAGAAGAGTAATTCGATCTGCTGGATATCACGGTAGAGCAGCCAAGAAAAAATTCTTCGTAAGTGAAAAGAATAGAAAACCCAGACTGGCTTTGGCAAAATCCAACATAAATAAGAATTCTGATTACTGGAATGAAGTTATATTTGCTGATGAGAGTAAATTTAATATATTTGGTTCTGACGGTAGAATCTTGGTGTGGAGAAAACCCAGGGAAGAATCTCAAAAACAGAACTTGGTGCCAACAGTAAAACATGGTGGAGGAGGAGTTATTGTATGGGGTTGTATGTCGTCCGCTGGAGTTGGTACTCTTGTTTTTACTGACAGTATAATGGATCAGTACAAGTATATTGACATTTTAAATCAAAACTTGAAATCTTTAGCACGAAAATTGAACCTTCATAACGATTTTAAATTCTACCAGGACAATGACCCCACGCACACTGCTCTGAACATTAGACTCTGGCTGCTGTATAACTCACCTGAAATAATAAAAACACCACCACAATCTCCACAATTAAATCCCATAGAGAATATTTGGCAAGAATTAGAATCAAGAATTCGCAAACACACCATTTCTTCAAAACAACAATTAAAAAAGGTGCTTCAAGAAGAATGGGGTAAAATCACTCCAGAAATCACAAAAGAATTAGTCGAATCCATCCCAAGAAGATTAAATCATGTTTTAAAAGTAAAAGGAAATTCAACAAAATATTAAAACCTTTTAAAAAGTAAAATTTTTGGATAAATATTTGATGGAAAAGTAAGTGTCCCATCACTTATGTGAGCCATTTTTTGCTCCTTTCTAAACAATTGTATTTTTATTAAATTATATTTTAATATTTTGAGAAAATGTATGTTATGTAATAATTGTTACTAAATTTAAGTATGAAACACACCCACAAAAAATTTTTACATGTTTTTTTAATTAATTTTACTACAGTTTCCTTTTGTAAAGCACAAGTGTCCCATCACTTTTGTGAGACACTGTATATATATATTTTTTTACCCCCCCCCCAATATATATATATATATATGTGATGTATCAGCTTTAGTCGTAGCTTAAATAATCAGACGATAAGTTTAAAAAACAGGATCCATTTATTATTATTCAGGAGAAATAGCAGTTACAAAAATCAGAAATCCGGAGTAAATAAAAGAATTACTAATAACTTTTTGTATGAAGTTTACTGCATTGTGACTTTTAAGAAAAAGCCCCGATATTCCTTTTGCGAGTCTTTTTATAGCCTCTGGAAAGACGGAGCTTCCAAGAAATGACGTCAGCCTCGTCAGTCTGGTCCTCTAGAATATGCGTCGAGTGTGCTACCGTTACACCACGAAGGCATGCGGAAAGGAGGGAGAAATTACCTTACATACTCCCCCTTTTAAAGGACGACAGGATATTAGAGGACCCAGTCATCAAATCCTGGTGATAAAAAATTAGCTCCTCAGCAAAACTATGGTCCAGCATTGAACTAGAAATATAATAAACCTAAAACCACCTTTTACGATGTTAATTGGTAAACATTTTTCATTTCAACTAATATCGCCGAACTCTGGCAACACAAGGTATTGCTGATGTTATTATCTGTAAATTAGTCCAATGGGAAAAAGTACTAAACGTTCAATCTCTCGTTCCAAATAAGTTTTGATTCTCGCTTTCCAGGGGTATTTATTACTTGAAATTTTTTTTATACAATAATGTCTAATTGAATATTTTAAATGTAACAAGTTTATAGCCCTTTCAGTATTCAGTAAAGCCGAGGCACTGCAAAACGATCCAAATTTCGATAATAAAAAGATATGTTTACATTCAAACAATGCGATCACTATGTTCTTGATTTGGAGAGTGCAAAAGATCGTTTTATTAAGAATTCAAATAGATGAACAGAAAGCAATCCTGTTGTTTATAAACCAACCAGCATTTATGGCGTTAACTCAAAAACAGAAATTTTAATTAAACTAAATATCAGTCAGCCCAAGGTTACGCACAGAATATGCGTAACCTTGAGCTGACTGATATTTAGTTTAATTAAAATTAACAACAGCGTAACAGCACTATTTGCAAGGTTAAAGCAATGCCGTAGAATATCAGTTAATAACATGCGGAAAACGCTTTGACTAAAGCAATCTCAAACCCGAGTTTAAATACACGCTAGCTAAAATGTGCGTTCTGGCAGGAAAACGGAAAGAGAGAAGTGACAGTAAAATTTCGGAACATAAAATAACTGTTTAATTAAAATTACCTTGCAAGTAAATAAATAAATATTTCTAACATCACCCGTCTAAGATGACCAACTCTCCAACATAGAGCCATCGAATTTTGAATGACGAAATCCTATTGCGTATATGGGCATGTGGAAGCCTAAATTTGAAATTTGGAATTTGCTTTATTATCAATTTCATATTTTGTAAAACTTTAACGAATTTTCGAGTAACAAACTCAACCATTTGAAAGCGAGCAATGGCAACAATCTACGGGGGGGGGCAACCTTTTTATCTGCAGCGCGCGGAACTGTGTATCGGAAATTTTAAAGATAGGCTCATTTTAAAATTATTTTGCGACATTGCTATTGAACTAAAATTAAAGGTTAAGTGCGAAGAACATGATATTTAATAAATAAAGGTAACACACAAAACAAAACGTTATAAAAAGCCCCTTTGGGCGTAATTTAAAATCTAAAACCTTTCAGATTTTTTTTTTTTTTATCATTATAGTATTATAACGTTACTTGCCGAGTTTTCATACTCCATATGCTGTATAGAGTTTCAGTTGATATATTAAATACCGATTTTTAACATATTTCTGTAAAGCTACCATTATAGCCATTGAAATCTTTTGGAACACTGGACTCTCTTCTCAGTAAAGTTTTATTACATTTATTTCAGCACACTACAAATTTTTAATTTGATTGCAAGCAATAAGTACCAAATAAATTAATAAAAAAAGAGAAGAAAAGAAAAACAAATAAAAAAATAAAATAAAATTTCTAATTTAAGTATTCATATTCTAGTTTTAAATGCTATTATTATTATTATTATTATTTTAAAGTTTTAACTGCATTTATTTTTATAGGTTACCGTAATAATTTATTGTCTTAAGAGATGAAGTACCTCGGCAAAGTTCTAGTAAATACAGAAACTTGAGCAGGATTTACAGGATTTCTCTGCCAAGATTCCCTGGAACCGTATTATTCCGCAATAAACAGTGATAAATTCTTTAATAATACGTTATATTTACGGCTAATCACTTGTAATATTTATGTACAAAACCCTTGAAATCTCAGAATTGTTCTCAGGGTTCCTCTAGAATAGGAAGAAAAAAAAGAAAAAGAAAAAGAAAGAAAAAAAAAAAATGTTGAAAAGCACTGATTTAAGATACAAGAGAAGTTAGAAATAGATTATATATGGAGTATGTAAGAAATTTCAAATAAAATTCTTGAACGTATGTGGTTTTTAATGATTTGAGAGTTAGGAAAACAAGGACATAGGATATCATGTACGATATCATGCGATATAACGCTTATAAAGCCCATCAGTTAAAAATAATTCTTGTTTTGAAATATAGATGGATATAAGCGAATAAAATTCGTATATATTACGTTTATAGTGTACAAAGAATTAGCGCAATTTACCTGCTCGGTAGTTGCACTCAGGGCAAACAACTGTTCCATCCACTACAAAACACCTGACCTTTTTACCCCAGTTGACGTCCTGCGTTGCAGCCGCCGCGAAGAGAAGCAGAAACACTCCGTATTGAATCCACATGACGAGTAACACTGAAATACTCTTTGATTTTGTCTATCTCGAGTTTTGCCCGGCCGAAGCGAGGAAAAAGCGGAAGCCTTGCGTTTTCCCCTTTTTAAGCGTTTCGCGGTCGCATCCTCTTAATAATTCGTGTCACGAATCAGATGAGTCGAAATTCGCAACCTGCAGACGATGATGTAAAGATAAGGAAAATGACTTCTTTAATAATTTCATTCATTTGCACAACTGTTTCTTTTCTTTTCTGAGAACAGTAGTAACATTTCCCAGCGTTAATTATTTCATCGAATTTCAAATATCAAAATTCAAAACGCTTTTTAAATTTTTTAGATATTGTGTTAAACCTTTTTTTTTTTTTTTTTTTTTTATTGTTGAGGAACTGCCTTGCTTTAACTCCAAGTTACTTTTAACTTTAGATGCTTTAAGTATATTTTACTTCAATCCTGAAGCTATAGCGCAGGAGGGTTATAAAACATTTGCTTTTAAGTTTTGCCTCTTATTAAGCTTCTTTATATATATGTATGTATGTATTATATGCTGTATGATCTTAAATTCACCTTAGTGCGAAATCGAGTTATTCTACTACTTGCGCAATTGCTGCAAAGTAAATTAATAATAATTTATTTACTAAAGAAATATTGATTATATTATCTCCTAAGATTAGTTTTAGTAGAATTATCTTAAAAGAGTGAATCCATAGTTAGGAAAATCAATTTCGAAAATTGTTTTAAAGTAACTTGAATGTAAATTGTTAAAAATGTTTAACGGGGACTTGAATTAAATCATGAATAACAAAATTTCAATTGTAAAAAGAAACAAATTAAAAGCAAGTAATTAAATTAAATGCTAAATAAATCATTGCCATTGATCGGAAATTAGTTGACTTTTCAAGGGGAACAAACCAACTCCCTTTCAATGAACAATAATTAAGAAATAAATACGAAGGTTTTTCGTCCTTTACTCAAGTAATATGGCGATGCCAAACCGGCAATTAATCTTAGGAGATAATATAATTAATATTTCTTTAGTAAATAATCCGCTTATATTGTACCAAATGTATACAGTACATCATCAAATATACAGTACCAAATATATACAGTACAGTATCAAATATACAGTAGCAAACAGTATAGTACCAAATGTATACAGTGCAAAACCAAATGTGTGTATATGTATAACTTTTAAATCCATTTTACAATTCATTGTGGGAAAAAAGAGTCCTTTATTTTGTCCGGACGTAGAGACGTCACGGAAAAAATCGTCCAAATGGATTCGGGAACGATCAAAATGGATATTTGAATTATGATACCTGAAATTTTTCGATATTAGAATACTCCCTATTTTTCGGACAAGGAAGTAAAAAAGTTAAATTTGTTTATTAAGAACGCTAAAAAATTACGTTCACAAATCATTAGCGTAAAAAAAGGTTAGGAAAATGCGAAAATACAAACAAAAGTGTGTGGGCAGCAATGATAGCAGATGATGTTACAGTACTTGAGAGTTCTTATCCACAACAGAATGTAATATAACTGCATGTTATTCGAAATATGTAAATATTGTACAATGAGAATCATAAAATTCTATCAAACCTTCTAAGCGATTTTGAGGTCAATGACGATGTTTAAGTGGCACTAGGCCTAACAAGGCCGCCATTTGTTTACGATTGAAACTCTTAGTACGATTGAAACTCTTAGAATAGTGAGTTAAATAAGATGGTGCACTAACTTCAGTGCCCTTTTGTGCAGTGGGGCCAAAAGTTAAATTTCAATTTTTTGCACCGAAAATTTTGTCTTCCTACTCGCTAGACGAATTACTTGTTTTGCGTAGAAACTCTAATTTTAGTTGTAAAAGTAGTTTTCTTTTTAACTGGTTTTAACTGTATTTCTTGTTTTAGGTTTTTTGTATTTTACAATTTTTAATGAAGATGTTTTGAGATTTTATTTATTTTTGAAAACTGAATTGATTGAATGAGAAATATATCATTAATGAAATTCGAGGAAATATGTTTAAATGAAATACGACAAAAAATGTGTATAATTCAATAGGCCATACAACTAAGTCAAGTGGTGTCCTCAGAGATATTTTTATTTACAATTATTTTTCTTTTCTTTTTTTTTTTTTAAGTTTTTTTATTCATCTGTTATTTATAGTTCTTTTTGTTTTGAATACTTATGTAATTTTCGTAGCCAAATGAGCTTATTTTCCAGATCAAACTTACAGAAAATACAAATAAATTGCTAATAGTTAATTTTTCCTTAATTATAATATGGATTACTCTTTTTGGCTAATCTTCGGAATATGGTAACAGGTAGTTTGGTGACATTTTGGTAAGGCGATAAAGGTTATTAGCTAGGACTTTAGAGTGTACATGGATATAGTCAAGAGTGGGCGCAATGCCATTTTTGTGCAATTCTGAGATTTTTTTTAAGTGAAAATAGGTCGACGTGTACATGGATGATACCGTGTATAAGCAATTAGTAAAAACGCGGTAAGCAGTGGGCGATTCTGCACTTTCTCCCAATTTCGCACCTAATCTTCGTCATGATTAAGTACTTTTGTTCCATAAAAGTTCTAGCATAAGCGTAATTCGGCTAGCAGATTGTTGGAAAAAAATGTTGAGTAAAAAAAAAAAAAAAAAAAGCCTTTACTTCGGAAAACAAAATGGCGTCCAAACAAAAACTAGCAGGTTGCTGTAGCAGGGTTGGTCGCCAAATTTTCGCCAAAAAATCGCCAAGTTACCATAATTCAAAGATTAACCCTCTTTTTTCCTGTGTTCTTTTTTTAATTACCTACGTATTAACCGTAATTTTCATTTAAAAGTATCGGTATTGCTCTGTTCAATCAGGACTTGAGTGTACATGTATATATATTTTATACAGATAAGGAAGTGGATGTTACGTTATTCATGGCATTGCTATGTAGAAAAATTTCTGAAGCTTCTAAGACATCAAAATCACGCTCCGTTGCTGTAGGTGGCCTGGCAATCTGTTTCGAAACTTAATGGCTCTTCGTTGAGCAAGGATTTTAACTTCCACAACAAGAATTACAACTTCTGTAGCGTGCAGTATTGTAACAGCAAAATTTTGACGAAGTTGGATTGAGCTCCAATGAAACTGCAGCAAACGATAGAGTTTTGTTTAATTTTTTGTTAACCACTAAACGGTATAAAGTTATTTTCCCCCACAAGTATTTTCATTTGCTTCTCTCGCTTCTTTTAATTTCTAATGCAGCTCTCATAAATGTGCCATTTAATGTACACTGAAGTGACAAAAGTCATGGGATACCTCCTAATATTTTGTCGGTCCTCCTTTTGCCCGGCGAAGTGCAGCAACTTGACGTCGCATGGACTCAACAAGTCGTTGGAAGTCCCCTGCAGGAATATTGAGCCATGCTGCCTCTATAGACATCCATAATTGTGAAAGTGTTGACGGTGCAGGGTTTTGGGCACGAACTGACATCTCGACGATGTCCCATAAATGTTCGATGGGATTCATGTCAGGCGATCTAGGTGGCCAGATCATTCGCTGGAATTGTCCAGAATGTTCTTCTAACCAATCGCGAACAATTGTGGCCCGGTGACATGGCGCATTGTCATCCATAAAAATCCCATCGTTGTTTGAGTACGTGAAGTCCATGAATGGCTGTAAGTGATCTCCAAGTAGCTGAAGGTATCCATTTCCAGTCAATGATCGGTTCAGTTGCACCAGAGGACCGAGTCCATGCCATGTAAAAACAGCCCAGACCATTATGGAACCACCACCAACTTGAACAGTGCCTTGTTGACAACTTGGGTCCATGGCTTCATGGGGTCTGCCCACACTCGAACCCTACCATCAACTCTTACCAACTGAAATCGTGACTCATCTGACCAAGCCACGGTTTTTCATTCGTTTAGGGACCAACGGATATGCTCACGAGCCCACGAGAGTCGCTGCAGACGATGTCGTGCTGTTAGTAAAGGCACTCGAGTCGGTCTTCTGCTGGCATAGCCCAAGGAAGACAAATTTCGCCGCACTGTCCTATCGGACACGTCCCTCGTACGTCCCACATTGATTTCTGCGGTTATTTGACGCAGTGTTGCTTGTCTGTGAACATTGACAACTCTACGCAGACGTCGCTGGTCTCGGTCGTTAAGTGCAGGTGGTCGGCCACTGCGCCGTCCATGGTGGGATGTTATGCCTGAAATTAGATACTCTCAGTACACTCTTGACACTGTGGATCTCGGAATGTTGAATTCCCTAACGATATCCGAAATGGAATGCGTCTAGCTCCAACTACCATTCCGCGTTCAAAGTCTGTTAATTCTCGTCGTGCGGCCATAATCACGTCAAAGCCTCTTCACATGTATAACTTGAACACAAATGAAAGCCCTGCCAAAGCACTTCGCATTTATACATTTTCTACGCGATACTACTGCCATCTGTATATTTGCATATTGCTATCCCATGACTTTTGTCACTTCAGTGTATAATTTCATTTCCAGATACAGAAAATAGATAAAGAATAAATCGGCGAGCAGGCGGAGAATAATAAGCATTACAATTTTCTTTGCAATTAACGCTTGAGAATGTTTGCACTGGGCGAAGGGAGGAAAAAAATTCGTTGTTTGAACGAGTTTTTCCTGGCCTAATGAGATCTGTCTTTTCAGAAGCTGGGTCTAGAACTTGAAGCATACTATATCTGACAGCAAAAATGTCTTACTTACTCCCAACCAATCATAGAATTTACAAATATGGTAGCTTCTGAAAACGCATTTTCTCCGATGGCAGTTGGTTATGTGTACAAAACTTTAGGACTCGGATCGCACAAAATCCAAAGTTGAAGGAACACCATTCTAAAGTTTTAGTTTTCAATAAGCGGGTCTTGCAAGCCTAGAACACGTTTTGGACGTTTGCATAATAGCTCCAGTGATTCCTTCGTAAAACTCCTCTTTTGAAATACTGCTTCTATCTCTGATTATGTTTTTCTGAATTTTTTCAATGTTATTAAAATATGGCCTTTGAGATGATAATTCCCTCCAGGAAAGTAAAAGCAATCTGCAGGTGCCAAAGCGGAAAAAGACGGTGGCTGGGAA